TACTGCTCTACCACTTGAGTCACAGGTCCACTTATGGCTTTTTGATATCTTATTGGAGATAAAAGTGACATAGACTTTTCTACCCCAGCATGCTTCCAACCAGAAATCCCAGCCTCCTGAGTAGGTAGAATTACAGGTATAAGCTACCAGCATCCAGTAAGAGCCTTTTTTTTTTTTGGTCAGTCGTGGGGCTTGAACTCTGGGCTTGGGCACTCTCCTTGCACTCTTCAGCTCGAGGCGAGTGCTCTACAGCTTGAGCCACAGTGCCACTTCCAGTTTTCTAGTGGTTTATTGGAGATAAGAGTCTCACGTACTTTCCTGCCAGAGCTGGCTTTGAACCACGATCCTCAGATCTCAGCCTCCTGAGTAGCTAGGATTACAGGCGTGAGCCACCGGCACCAGGCTCAGTAACAGCCTTTTGTAATAGAGGCTTACAGAAAATTTATGTGCTATTAACTGATATTAATTGTGACAAACTGGTGTGAATCCAGAGGGTGGGCTCATGTTGAGACATTTCACACACAATGGAACATACCTGTTTTGTGTCTTTCTAGTTCTTCCTAGGGAGGAACTGAAGCCCCAACAGGAACAGGGAAGATAACCTTTCTTTGTTTAAGATACAAATGTTACTATCATTTTTTACTTTTAAATCAACATTACATAATAAATAGAATGAATATTGTACATTTAGTATGTTGTGTATTAGCAGAAGAAGAGATAGAATCTCACCTACCACAACTGAACAGAGCAGAGAAAACGAAGTGTGAGGTTAAGATCTGGTTAAGGGGCCTTTTCATCTGAAAGAAGACATGCCCTTAATTCAGGTTAACAGTTTATAATTTCCTTCAAATGTTATCAGACAGAATAACCATGAAAAATGTTAGTGTTTGTTAGCAATACCTTGGGGTGTTGGGGTGTGACTTAGGAATAGGACACCAACTCCAAGGGGACTGGGCAAGACAAAAGATCCCTTCTGCAGAAGGGTGCGCTTTTAGCCAAAAATCTGGTAGACAAGAAAACAGAACAGGCAGTCTGTTCCCTTGTGATCCCTAACCTAGCAGGCCCTCACCTCTGTTCAGATTGGCTAAACTCAGCTTCAGAATCTGGAGGAGGATGTGGCTTAATTAACAGGTTGTAACAAAACTTCAAGGAGCTTCTAACAGGAGTTCTTAACATGCACTGTGAGCCAGGCAATAGTGGCTCATGCCTGTAATCCTAGCTACTCAGGAGACTGAGATCTGAGGTTCACGGTTCAAAGCCAGCTCAGGCAGGAAAGACAGTGAGACTCTTCTCTCCAATTAACCACCAGAAAACCAGAAGTGGCACTGTGGCTCCAGTGGTAGAGTGCTTGCCTTGAGCCGAAGAACTCATGGACAGCTCTCAGGCCCAGAGTTCAAGCCCCACAACCAACCAAAAAAAAAAAAGTGCAGCATAAAAAAAGATATAACTAAAATGAAATTAACAAGGGCTAAGCCCCCTGGCCCAGGAAAGATTTTCCGGAAAACAATTCTCACAAGATTAACATGAAATATCCCAGTTTCCCGAGGCTGGTGGGACTTGAACCCACAATCTCCAAAAGGAGTCACCAACACTCAGACTTAATAGGGTTAGGAATCATTTAATGGCCATGGAGTCTGACCTCCACTATACCAAGACAGTGAAGACCAGCAGTGAAGTCAAATAGCTCAGGGTATTTAAAGGCAAGATCCATGGGGGTGGGGGTGCCACTCACAGGTGGCCAGTGGTAGTTTCACAATCTGCAAAGAAACAAGTCACAGAAGCAGAGCTAGCCGTTAATGATTACAAAATGGTGATTACAATTCTAGTCATTCCAATAATCAAGGCCATAAATCACAAGGCAAAGTCCTTATCCCAAATCTTCCCATCAAAGAAGCAAGTTAGTGAAATAGTAATTACAGTCTCTATATGCAAAGTAGTAAGTCCTCAAAGCAAAATCCACATTCCAAATTTCTTACTTATCACACCCCAAAATCAAACTACCTTCTAGCTTTTCTGGCTCTTTCTGAGTTTCACTGTTATCTACTGAATTCCAGTAACCTGGTGTTTAACTCACTAATTTACTTCAAACCTTTATCTCTGGAATTTTCCCTTTAATGATTAACCTAGAGTTTCTACAAGGAGATTCTGCCTTTCAATTTGGTCTTATTCTAACTCACTTTGCAAATTTCAGTAACTGCCAGGCCTCAATTTGTTCTATTCCTAGGGTTACCTGGGACTTATTTGTCCCAGTTAAATTTAATTTTTCCTTGGCCTAATTAATACTCTATTTTGTTTAATTTAACCTGGTTCTAACAAACAGAAAATAAGCAAACTTTTTTGGTAGAAAACACACTTGTCTCACATATTTTAAGTGGCTTCTGGAACCTTATTGATTTAGGCATGGTTTGCCTTGCTCCCCAAAATTTCATGGGCTGGAAACTTCCTAGTAGTATGGTAGGGTTGTGGATGGATTAAGACTCAAATAACTGAGTAGGACAGGAGGATAATATAGAATAAATCAGTTTCACAAGAAGGGCTATTGTAAATTATGGCCACCACACATGCTTAGACTCTTTTCCACATGGTTGTTTCCCCTTCATTTTCTCTGCTATATTGTGATGCCGTTTTCTGTGCTATATTGTCATGCAAGTAGGAAATCTCACAGGAGGCTGAACAGGCTGTACTTATGATTTGGACTTTGAATTAATGAAGTGGTAAAATATACATTCTTTAAAAGTGTCCAACCTTCCAGGCACTGGTGGCTCATGCCTGTAATCCTAGCTACTCAGGAGGCTGAGATCTGAGAATCACGATTCAAAGCCAGCCCAGGAAGGAAAGTCCGTGAGACTCTTATCTCCAATAAACTACCAGAAAACCAGAAGTGGCACTGTGGCTCAAGTGGTAGAGCACTAGCCTTGAGCTAAAGAGCTGAGGAACAGTGCCCAGGCCCAGAGTTCAAGCCCCATGACCAACAAAAAATAAATAAATAATAATAAAAGTGCCTAACCTTTGACATTTTGTAGCAGCAAGTCATGACTGACTATTTCAAGACCTTTGACTTGACCACTGTTTCTCATTTTGGTTACTTCAAAGAGCTGTGCAGACAGGACCCACCATGATATAGACCTAAACAGTCTTTTTTTTTCTCTCTCTCTAAATTGCAGGTAACCTCCAGAAGGAGGAGAATTGGTATGTATTCAAGAATCACTCTCTGCTCTAGATTCACATTGTGCAAATAAATACTGGCTAGTTTTTTGGAGTACCATCTTGATCTGAGCTTCCTGATGAGAGTAAGGATTAGGAGTCTTGTAAAAAGAAGTGATTTTTTAAGTAACAAACCCTGGCCATGTGTCCACAGTTCCTGTGAAATATGGATACTGGATCTAAGTAACACCATCTTGGTATCTTGATAGGCGTTAAAAGAAGATGGGGAATTTCTGAGAACTCTAGAGGTTATAGAGAACATTCTTGGGTGGCAAATATATCATGAGTTGTAGGGCTCCAGGAAGCTTATACTTCCCCTAGAAAATTGGGGGCCTGATTGCCCCTTATTGCCCCCCCTCACCTATGTATAATGAATGCTTTTCTTAGAATTAAGTATCCTCATCTAGTTTGCTCTGCTTGGGTATAACACTTTTGTTAGGAATAAGTATCTCTATCTAGTTTGCCCTGCTTTTGTATAACTCCTTATTTTTGGTCAGTTGTGGGCTTGAACTCTGAGCCTGCACACTGTCCCTGAGCTCTTCAGCTCAAGGCAAGGGCTCTATCACTTGAGCCACAGCATCACTTCTGGTTTTTCTGGTGGTTAACTGGAGATAAAGAGTCTTGCAGACTTTCCTGCCTGGGCTAGCTTTGAACCACGATCCTCAGATCTCAGCCTCCTGAGTAGCTAAGATTACAGGCGTGAGCCACCAGTGACCAGTTGTATAACTCTTTTATTAGGAATAAGTATCTTAACACTTTTGTGTTGAGGCTTGGTCTGCACCCCCAACATGTGATTTTTGTCTTTAAAAGCTATGTGCTAGTTCTGCTCTGGCTTCAGGTCTTGTGACAGGAGTTTGCCTGCAGACACTGGCTTTCCAATAAAAACTTCCAATTCGACATCTTAAATTGTGGCATTTCCATATCTTGCTGATTGAATTCCCATACAACACCTGCGACTATTTGGGGTTTACTTTAGCTGGTGTGGCTTTGTGAGTAGTAGGGTATAGTTATGGAATTGCTTCATCAAGACCCTCCACATTTCTTGATTTAAAAATATATCATTGTCTTCAACGATGTGTGGTTACTCCTAAGCTTATCAAATGTCAGTTGCTATGCAGGAATAGGCTGGGTTATGCTGACCTCCTGAGAATGCTGAGGACTGTAGGTTTTGGACTAGAGGTATAGCTCAAGTGGAAGAGTGCTTGCCTGGCAGGCATGAAAACCTGAACTCAAACTTGAGTATCATAAAAATAAAAACCTTCATTAACTACTTACTAAAACTCACTTATTTGTGTGTATCTGGGCATATATTATATCCCTGGACAGATGAAAAAAACAAAGCCATGAAGATAAATTACCATCAAGGACTCTAGCTGCCCTCCTATGCAGTGAAAATTGATGTTCTAAAGCACAAGCAACACTTAACCACTTTGTCCCCAGACTACTAATCACTATGTCACATTTCCTCCATCCTAGCATTTTCTTGGGAATGACTCAAACCTTAAAAAGACCTCAAACACTATCCATCATACCATAATTGCAGTGGTAGAAAATCCAGAAATGAAATTGTATCTCCCAAAGATGCATGTCATGATTGTGAAAAGGCAAAAAAATCCCACCTTCTTGCTTCACATCAGATCATAGACTGTAACATGGAAAGACACTAGCTGTGACAACTTGGTGGATGTGTTTCCAGCTTGGGCCATTTTGAAACACACCTCATATCTTCACAAGCACTGGTGAAACACTTCACTATATGGGGTAACATTTTCATCCTGACTCTGTATATTGTTTAGGGATAGTGAGCATTTACATTCATACCAGTACATGGTTGCTGGAGTTTATCATTCTCATGGTAATATTTTTTAAAGGTGAGTTCAGTTATGCTAAGAGTGATTCCTCTCATTAATGGACTGTTGCTATGTAGGTTCTTAGAGCAAATACAGAGAACCAATATACTCAATAGATTTATACAGGTAGCAGTGAAAACCTAAGTCCACATTGTTCTGGAGTTTTCAGGGTTTATTCCAAAAGGAGCTTGAGTTTCTGTGGACTGCCTCTGCAGATCCAATGGATCAAGGGGAATCTTATAGAATTAAAGTTGAACTTTGATGAGAAAGGGATGAATGGGGAATGCACACAATGCTCATGTGGCTAACCCTCCAGTCTTAGTCGAGACTACACAAACAGATGCTTATAAGAAATGAGAGGCGAGTGAGAGACACCAATACAAGCTCAAGACTTTATTGGGGGACAGACCTGCCCGGCTGCTCCAAGAGGGAATGCAGGCAGCAGCCATGGACAGGTGTGGGACGAATTTAAACAGAATTTTAGGGGGCAGTCACACGAGTCACATTACATGGACTATGGGAATTTAGGGGTAGAGTCAGTTCTGAGAAGAAGTGTTATAAAGATGTTACGTGGACTACAGGAATTGAGGAGAGAAAAACATTCTAAGAAGGAGTGTAACGAGACTATTGCAACTGGGGTAGGAATCTGTATATCACACCAGGAAGACAATACAGCATCGGGAGATAGAAACTTAACAGATTTTTGTAAACAGGTAGCATCACAGGGCAGGAACTTAATTGGTAAGCTAACTCTGAGACTTATAGATTCCCATCTTTTTTTATGTATAGGTTTAAAAGTGAAAGGCAAATGGTAGAGGGTCGGTAAAACATTCTCTAGCTGCTTCCTGCTGATCAGGGGTATCAATTTTAGGGGTAGCATCTGGTCCAGGAGAAGGCACCAGTAAGAGTTCCTTGGTGGTGAATTTGCTTATGCATGTTTAGATGAAATGTGAAAGAAATCTTATGAGGCAGAGGCCAAACAATAAGAAAAGACATTATTAAAGGACCAACAAACAGCAGAAAGAAGGGTAGCCATCTGTTTGGGGTAGAAAAAAAATTGGATGACTTGCTAATTCCTGTCTCCTACATTCCAGGCAATCCTGGAGTTGGTGGATCATATTCCTAACTATTCCTGACTGATTAACATCTGCTGACTGGATATGAGAGAGCATGGTAGACCGGTTAAGAATAACCAATCAGAAGCTAAGGTCAGGTGGAGTGGTTAAGAGCCCAGTGAGAAGCCTGATCATTTCCTGGACTATAGATGTCTAGACCATAGAGTCTGGATGGAAAATCCACTATAAATAGAAATAACAGGGAATAGATATACTTTTTTGCCCAGTTAAAAGATAGACAGATATGGGCACCAGATAGGCATGTACATGACCTCCCAGCTCTAGTTAATTTTGAAAGGGCAAGCCCAAAGTGACTCCATTTAGGATCTGACACCATACCCTTTTTCTGTGCAGTTTTTCCAAAGGGCCTCTGGGTAGACCCTCTGTCCTGGTAGGTCTAGGTCTCGTCTTCTTGCTGCAATGATGTTGCATTTGGCATTTTTGCTCACTGCTGGGATGGCATGTCCCAGTTGTCTGATGGCATGCCCCACATTGGAAGGGGTTAATAACAGATTAAATGAGAATTTTGCCAATAGCCCCTTTCCATTTCTACTTGAAGCAGCAACAAGATCAATAGAAATAATTCTGAAGCAGGGACTACCTGCAACTTCATAAGAATTGAAGTTTGACCAATAAATATTTGAAGAATTATTTATCCCTCTATGGATCCTACTGAAAATGCTACAGAGGTTCAAATCTAATAACTAGTATATGTCTGCAGCAAACAGAAACTGTCAGACAAGTTGATGTTAGGCTAAATGAACCCCAAGATAAAGATTCAAATGTTTTTTCTTTCTTGCAACTGTCTCCAACATATTTATAAGATGATTTCTTTGTGCTTTGTATGTCCCTCCCCCAAGATATAAGTCCTGCTTTCACTGTATTTGATGTTGATATAATTTGTGGAGGGGAAGGGAAAAAACAAACTGTTTAAATAGGGTTACAAGTGGACCCATTACAACAATGAGATGTACAAGACGTTATGTCGAAAAATGAACTTTACAACTTTGGCAGGGTGAGGGGCAAGGGGGGTGGAGGGGTGGAGAAGGGAAGGGATGGTATGGGGAAACAAAGGAGGAGGCAACAATGCTTGATAAGAAATGTACTCACTATCTTACCCATGTAATTGTAACCCCTCTGTATGGTATTTTCACAATTAAAAAAAAAAAAGCTCAATAGTGGTCATCATGATGAAAGTTTTGAAACAGCAACTGATTAACTGAATATAGTAATTTAGGATACCACTGAAGATTAAACCCATTGTCAGTTCTGTATCCAGAGTGGCTTACATACTTGGGAAACAGACATATTACACACATTTGTTCACACCCAAACCCGATGAGCTTCTCTGTGGTTTGAGTTTAAAACTGCCCATTGTTTCTTTTGGCCTGAGGAGCCAGTTAAATCTTGATTACCTCAGAATTGCAAAAGGACTCTCCTCAAGGCAATTTACTGTTACACTACCCAGAGCTAGGCTGCCCAGGCAAAGAAGTTTGCTAGGTTTTTTATCCCAATCCAAACTGTCCTTCCTCTTTGTCAGGGAGTTAGGCTCACATTCTAAGTATAATTACCAAGAGAGCTATTCCTGAATTTTTGTCACAAGCAGCACAGATAATAGTTGCAATTGAAGTAAAAAGGAAATAATTTCAGGAAATATCAGAACTAAAGAACTATCACTATTAAAGACAAAAACACTGTGATAGAAGAGTTTTTCTTACACTACGGTAGTTTTTATGTACACACACACTGGTACACAAAAAGTTTTAAGGCACACTTAGGTTTTAAAAATGAAAGTTGTCCATTCGTTTTTTGGAATTCCAGTGGCAAAAGACATTTTACCCATTTCATGATAGAACCACATGGTCAATTGCTAGAAAAATAGGGAACACCAAACAAAATACAAGACAAAACTCAAGGCACACACACAAAAAAAAACCCTCAAGACACAAAACTTTTGCCAGCAACAAACACAGATTAACCAGAACAAAAAACTTTTACAACAATTTTGGTAAAGAGACACAATTGACCTTGGAATACTTACGAGATGGGTGGAGGAGTAAGCTTGGTGGCAGAGTGGGGGTCACATGAAAACCCACCACATAGCTTTTGTCTCTTCCAAAGTATGAATCTCCAGGGCCTGTAAAGAGAATTGGGGGAGATACCTAAATCAAATTCATTAGGGGGAGGAGGCAGCACTTCTCTTAAATTCAGGAGGGAGAGAGAGAGAGAAAAGCAGAGAGAGGGAGAGAGAGAGAGGATATTGAACTGTTCCTACTACATTTACAAGACAAAAAAAAGTTGGCTTATGCCCATCCCCATCCTGTGTCAGCCACACAGGCCTGACAGGCATGGGGTGAAGGTTAACATGGGGAGTTTGCTGAGAGAGACACAGAGAGAGAGAGAGAGAGAGAGAGAGGATGAGAGCAAGGAGAATCTTGAAGGCCTGAGTATATGGAGCCTCTGATCATTTACCATTGTGTTAGCAGAAATTGCCCAGATCTCTAGGAATATTATAAGGTGGCCAGACTTAATTGCAATAAAAAATGAGTCATTTTTGGTTTTGTGCATGTAAAGGGAATCTGGTAAGGATGGGGAGGAGTCCATGAGGACGTAGAGGGGAGGAATCCCCACTGCAGGGGAGATGTCAGCCAAACAGCTCAAAAATTTACTGGGAGTCTCATTGGGGTGCTGAATTACCTCCCTCGTCATAGTTGACAGACATGTGGGCAGTCTTTTCGAGTCTATAGAGGAGGTAGAGGATCATGGCATCCCTAAGAGTCTGATGGGGGTGATCAGCTTGGAAATTTCACCCTGGGTTGGAGCAAGGTACAGCTTCCTGAGCAACAGGTTTTTGATTAAGGTATTTAAACTTCTATTTAGGACAGGCTAGAGAGGGAGAAAGGAATGTGAACATGAAAAATGCCTTCAAAGCTGGACACCTTCTGAAAGGGAAAGAGGTGGGCTGGTGCCACAGCAGATGATTGATGGGCAGTGCAGAAATGGGGTGTGAGGTAGTGAGAAAAGCAGTGATGAAGGGGTGGAGGGAGTAGAAGAAGAAGGTGGGGTTGATAGCGAGGATAGAGAAGGAGATGGGAGATCAAGATGTGGAGTTGGGTAGGGAATGTGGAAAGAGAGTGGTCAGCAGGGCACAACGGCAGGTCAGCATCAAGGAGAGGGGCAGAATAAAGCCTGAGGACAAAGGATTTCTCCAGCCTTGCCACTTCAGTAACAGAAGTTATCAAGGTCTGTGAGGATATTAAAGGTGAAGGTACCATTCTTGGGCCATCGAGACCCATTGTCTAATTGGTATTGAGGCCATGCCACATTACAATAGAAAATGAGTCTCTTGGGTTTAATAATGTCTGAGAAACCCAAGTTTATGGAGATTAGCCACAAGACAGCCCAAAGGGGTGTTCTGAGGCAGTTTAGATTGAGTGGTACCCATTTTAGACAGGCTGTGGCAATTGAGATCCCAGTAGAGGAATTTTTTGTCACTCTAGGTGTCCCTGGGAGCACAGAAGAATTCCTAGTAGAATAGGACAATGCCTCAAGAGGTCATCATCCAGTGAGACAAGTCAACAAGAGCTTTTGCTGGGTCCAGGTGCCTGGTCTTTTGAGCATGAAAGGAAAGTAGGTTGGGGAGGCTCATAGAGACAGAAGGCCAATGTTCACCCTTGCAGATCCAAATGTGAGGCATGCAGAAATCTGAAATAGCTGGCAGAGGAGAGTAAAAGTTGCTCACTCCGAGGAGGTTAAGGAGGAAGGCTGGGGGCTAATCAACCCCTATAGGGGGATTGTCCAAATCCAGGCCACCAGGATGTAAGAAATTAGAGGTGAGAGCCGGGCGCCGATGGCTCACACCTGTAATCCTAGCTACTCAGGAGGCTGAGATCTGAGGATCATGGTTCAAAGCCAGCTCGGGCAGGAAAGAACGTGAGACTCTTATCTCCAATAAACCACTAGAAAGCCGTAAGTGGCACTGTGGCTCAAGCGGTAGAGCACTCACCTTGATCTGGAGAGCGCAGGGACAGCACCCAAGCCCAGAGTTCAAGCCCCAAGACCAACAGAAAAAAAAGGAAAAAAGAAATGAGAGGTGAGTGAGACCGACTGATACAAGATCAAGGCTTTATTGGGGAACAGACCTGCCAGGCTGCTCCAAGCAGGAATGGAGGCAGCAGCCTTGGACAAGTGTGGGATGAACTTAATAAAATTTTAGGAGGCAGTCACATGGGTCACATGGGCTGTCATATAGGTCACCTTAAGTGGTCTATGGGAATTTGGGGATAGAGTCAGTTCTGAGAAGAAGTGTTATAAAGGTGTTACATGGACTACAGGAATTGTGGGGAGAGTCACATTCCAAGAAGGAGTGTAATGAGACTGTTGCAACTGGGGTAGGAATTTGTACATCACATCAGGAAACAGTACAACATCAGGGAAATAGAAACTTAACAGATTTTTTTTTGGGGGGGCGGTCATGGGGCCTGAACTCTGGCCTGGGCACTGTCCCTCAGCTCTTCAGCTCAAGGCTAGCTCTCTACCACTTGAGCCACAGCGCCACTTCTGGCTTTTTTCTTTTTTGTTTATGTGGTGCTGAGGAATTGAACCCAGGGCCTCATGCATGCAAGGCAAGGGCTCTAGCACTGAGCCACCTTCCTAGCCCAAATTTAACAGATTTTTGTAAACAGGTAGAGACACAGGGCAGGCTAGAGTCAGCAAGCTAACTCTAGACCTTAGAATACTGAGGTCCGTAGTCCCCAAAACAGTGGTAGACACAGGCACATTTGATTAAGCCACCAAACACTAGATCCCATTACCTGTCAGTTCACATTAAGGCTTCACCAGGGCTGGTTAAATGAAGAGTTTATTGATTTCACAACCATGACATAACAATTGGCTTAGAAGGACCTAGCATCTGTTCATCTTTGAGGACAAAAGATGATCAGATCATCTTGGTTATCAGAAGCCTCCTTCAAGGCCGTTGTCAGTGTAAGAATACCTGTAGAAGCCGGGCGCTGGTGGCTCACGCCTGTAATCCTAGCTACTCAGGAGGCTGAGATCTGAGGATCAAGGTTCAAAGCCAGTCCAGGCAGGAGAGACCGTGAGACTCCTATCTCCAATAAACCACCAGAAAACCGGAAGTGGCGCTGTAGCTCAAGTGGTAGAGCGCTCGCTTTGAGCTGAAGAGCTGAGGGACAGCGCCCAGGCCCAGAGTTCAAGCCCCACGACTGACAAAAAAAAAAAAAAAGAATAACTGTAGAGGAAGTACACACTTTTGAATTCTTCCAGCTCCTCAGAAGACTTTAGCTGAAGGAAACAGTCATATTTGGGATGAGGGACCGAAAAACAGAGGAAATGTCTGGTTTAAGATTAGGAAACTATAAGCAATGAACATAGGAGTGCAGATATCTCTCTAGCTTATTTCATATCCTTTAGATATATACCCCTGTAGGTTTGCTGAATCTCTTGGTAATATTACTTTTGGAAGAATCTCTACACTGCTTTCCATGATGGCTATATTCTTCACATCTTGACTGGTAATTCTTATCTTTTATCTTTTTTATAATAGATGTTTTGATAGCAATAAGATGATATCTTATTGTGATTTTAATTTATTGTTCCTTGATATTTAGTAGTGTTGAGTATTTTCGTCCCCAAATGTCTATTTGTCATTTGTATGTCTGCTTTTGGAAATGTCTATTCCAGTCAATAAAATTCCTTGAATTTCAAAAAAAAAAAAAAGATTAGGAAACTGCCCTTGTCAGATGCATCCCCTACAGAGAACTAAATTCTTCTTCCTATAAACACATATGTGAAAATCTGAAGAGGAGAATGTAGGGAGTCCTCTTGTGCAATCTTCCCTGGTTGTCTCTGTGACATTGGGCCCAAGCCATCAGGCACCAGTCGCTGTGTCTTCTGACTTTCTATATTATCTCACCTACAAAGAGTTACTGCTCACGTGTTCCACATGATAGTTATGTTAAGAGCACACTGGACTCTAAATTCCTGAAGCCCCATTCTGATTGAAATGACTGTTTTGAAACCAATAAATAACAGGAGCAAAAGTTTGAACTCAAGCATAATTTTTTCCCTTCAGTTTTCTTCCCTTCAGCTGGCTTAAGTCTTTTCTTCAAATATGTTTCACAGATTCTACTTTAACTACTTCTAAGGAAATGATAGCAGAGTCATTCCAGAAACCAAAATTCTGGTTGTCACCACTATTCATACAAAACCCAAAACAGATAATATAACTGGAGGTACTATGAAAATTTAATCATCAGTTTGATGTGAAAATAATAATCATGTGATTCCTTGTTCTCAGTATGGAAGAGAAAACAATGAAGTTTTCAATATGTGAGATTTTCCTAATCTGTAATGATACAAGCACAGATTTAGAAAATGCAACTTCATCCTCCTTTAAAGATAAAGAATAGTTACCTATTGAAAATTCCTAAAGATCCAGAAACACAACAGATCAAAGAAGGCTGGATAAGTGAGATTACATTAAACAGCAGAGCTTCTGCGTGGCAAAGAACATAGCTAACAAAATCAATAGGAAGCCCACAGATGGGGAGATCTTCACCAGCTATACAACAGAAAAGGGTCTCATACCAAAAGTATACCTAGACCTCAAAAAAGTAAACCCCCAATAACAAGTCCAAAAAAAAAACCCATTAATAACCGGGCTAAAGAATTTAAAAGAGACTTCTCTGCAGACGAAATGAAAATGGCCAATAGACACATAAAGAAATGCTCAACATCGCTGGCCATAAAAGAAATACAAACCAAAACCACCTTGAGATAACTCACCTCAGTTAGAATGGCTATTATCAAGAAAACAAATAATAACAGATGTTGGCAGGAGTGTGTCTAAAAGGGAACGCTACTACACTGTTAGTGGGAATGTAAGCTGGTTCAACCACTCTGGAAAGCAGTATGGAGGTTCCTCAAAAGACTAAACATAGAATTCCCCTATGATCCAGCAATCAAACTCCTGGGCATTTATCCAAATGATCACAGGCTAGGTCACACTAAAGCTACCAGCACAACTGTGTTCATTACAGTATTATTTACCATAGCTTAGATTTGGAACCAACCCAGATGCCCCTCAATAGATGAATGGTCCTCTGGTACTCCACACCTCAATTCCTCAGTCCAGTCTCCATTATAGCTTTGTCCCCACTCATGGCAGGTTGCAACAGAGTGAAACAAAAAATGAGTGAAACAAAAAAGGCTTCTGATATTTCTCAAGTGGTAAAGGACAATTTCATAAGTATGAGCCCCTGAGTTCAAACCTTTGGGTTTGAGGATGGCCAATATGAACTGATGTGGGCATTTCAGTGTGTTTTCTACAATGATAGAAAAACAGACATTTACCAGCTGATTGCAAAGAACATTTGCAAATGGCAGTATGATGTTATAAACCTTATGCTTGTTGTCCTCTTTGAAAACAGTGAGTCCTGCTTGAATCAAGTAATTAAGAACTCGTGATCTACCTGGGTACTGGAGTCTTGTGTCTGTATTCTTAGCGACTCAGGAGCCTGAGATCAGAGGATCACAGTTAAAAGCTCGACTGGGCAGGAAAGACTGTGAGACTGTTATCCAGTTAACTACCAAAACTGTCATCCACAAGTTGAGCTGTGATTCAAGTGGAAGAGTGCTAACCTTTACCACACAAGCTCAGGGACAGCACCCAGCCCAAGCACTGACATAAGAAAGAGAAGGAAAAAAAATTGATGATCAAAATTGAGTTGAATTATTCATAATCCAGGAAAGCGCATGAGTTTTCCGTAGGTGTGCCATTTCCTTTACTTTGGGCACTCTATCTTGCCAGTGTTTCTCCTATCTTTTCATTACTCATGAAGAGAAATAAAACCATGTGCAAACAAGTCACTACACAACAATGTCCTCATAATGTGTCTGTTCCTGTAGTTTCAAATCCTTGAAGATGACCTGGAATACGGTAAGTGTCCTTGCCTTAGTATGTGAGTAAACAATGTAGATGTTAAGATGCATGTGGTAAACTTGGTAGCTTCTCTCTTGAAATGCCACCCAAATTCTAGGTTATCAGAAGGAAGTAGTATAGTACAAGGGTTGGATAAAAGTTGGGTAAAGATTGATAATTTCTTTGGTTGTTGGATCAGTTGTGCTGGTCCCCATCTGTTTATTTGAAGTCATATACTTGAAGACTGCTGGGGCTTTAATGTGATTTTATGCTCCATGAGTGAGAACCTGTATGTGATTGGGTACATGTGCATTTGTATCTTACACAGCAAAAGTGCCTCAGTAACTTCTTAAAGATAAAAATCCATCACAAACACACACATACACACACACCGGATATACATTATATCATCCAGTCCACACCAGAGTTCTATCCGGAGTTTGGTTTTTTGCCTCACTAGGTGCTGAGGCTCACATACTAATATTAATGACCCAAGCTCCTGAATTAGCTCCTTGAAGGACAAAACATGAACCCTTCTGAGGATGCCTTTGCATTGCTCTCAACTTATGAATTTAGTCCACTAATGGATTCACTAGCCGTACTATTACTGTATGAGCCTTGAAGTATGCTAGCCTGAAGAGTCACTACCCATGAATTGAGTTGGCTTTTTATTGTTATATATGCCAAGGCAATAACCGATTTTCACAAAGGCATTGGCATCCTCATTCATATGAAATGCACATAAACATACCCTGATTTTCTGAACAGTTCATAGATCTTGGAGAGCTACAAGTGAGTATGTAGGACAATGTGGCCTATGTCTGTAAGTTCTGGAATGATGTCTTCAAAGACAGGTCCAAACACATAAAATTTGGCTAAATTTTATACTGTACTATATAATGGCACCATTAGCAATAATAGGCTTAAATTGTAACCATTTAAGACCCTAGAGGAGTGACTTTTATTTGGTTGTTAGAATGATATCCACATTACTTTTGTAAGTCTCAAACACCTAGGTAAAGAACATTAGTCCCTAACTCGTGCCTCTCCTCCATGATGAGCTATGTCACTGTGATTTGGTACACACACCAAGTCAGTGGACACCCAAGTGACATAGAAATGGAACAATTGAAGGAAACATACTGTTTGATAGCTGTCATTTTTAGTTGGCAACGTATCAGTATTTTTAAATATTTAAGATATTATATTTTTACCTAAAATTAATGAAGTATAGGATGTTTTCCTAGAATCAAGTCTAGGAGTCTCTTTTTCAATCCTCAAAGCTGATAAATGGAATCACAACTTAGGCCAACCCATTGATCTTGCTACATGTTAAAGAAGATAGAGGCCACTTAGGAGATTTACATTGCTCTGGTTCTGGGGCAGTATTTCAACTCTTGTCCTGTTTAGAATTCTATCTGAAGCTTTCCATCCTAAGCTGTGCAGAGATTTAGTGTCAATTGGAATTGAGTTTATTAGGACATCCCCACTAAAGAATCTAATCATGTTCTGTACTTTGTATATATGGAAAGTCCTGCACAAGAAGAACTATGTGGAAATACACATCTCATCTGTTAAAAGCGACCCTTTCTTTTTGATGTGTCTCACTTCATATTTGCCCTAATATTTATCCATCACCCCAGGTAATCACAAGGAAAAACTTTACATACAATTGTTTGTATCAAATCTCAGTTTAAAAACATAGTTAATTTTCACTGAGAAAATTTTATTTGTTCCTAAGACAGACTAATATAGATCTGTCAGACAGACCAAATAATGATCATCCTGGAAATAGCTAATGAGTTAGCTCCATTGTAGTCCTGTTCCCACTTACTTGGTGTCAAAGTTTTCATTTGCACCATGAATGTGATTGCTACTTTTAATTCTGACCACAGAACTACAGAGCACATGGTACCTCAAGATAAAATGCTACAAAGCTGGCTGCTTTTACTGAGTTCAGACAATTGTTTTCTTGAATAATAGCTTCCTAAACTGAATAAATACAAAGCTTCAGTGAATTTCCCAAATTCTGAGCTAAAATGTATTGAAGAGGAGAGAAATTTTGCCAGTCTCTATTCTGCTATGTTCACTGATGTCACTCCATGACCAGTATTCATTTGACTCCTTTTGGTCACAGTCAATGACAGTTTATCCTCAACAGTTTGTATTAATTGCTGTTCAGCATAAATGATAGCTCAGATTGTTTCACGTGTTTTAGAACATTTTATGTCTATGCTCCTTAGAAATCAACAGGAACAATGAAACGCTGTTACATTTACAGATTCTTTCTTGTTAGCTTATATTGCCATTACATAAATGCATCAGAATGTTTGCCTTTCTTTCCTACATCTTCTTTAGTTTCTCCTTTTGTTGAAGAACATGTTCTACCAACAGTCTGTTTACACTATTCAGAGCACTATCATTCTCTCAAGTAAATTTTGTGTAGCATTAACAATAATAAACTTTCTGTATTCCTAGCCTGAAAGGCTCAGTTAAAAATATCTCTTTTCAAATGGAGGAAGATTTCCTTAAGTTTCTTCTTCAAGAATTAGCAAGCAGCATTTCTTTACCCTTTTAAATTAAGACAAGCAATCAAAACATGAGCCACTTAAAGCCTCTCATTTGTATAACCCTAGCTACTAAGGAAGTCAAGATGAGAAGCAAAGTGTTTCCAGGCCATCCATGCAAAACCTTCATGAATATCATCTTAGCCAATGAAGGATGGCTGTGGTGATATGTGCCTGTCTTGACAGTACTTGGGAAGTATAATTGCAAACATTGTCATCTACGCAGGCCCAGGCAAAAAAAAAGACTCTAATTGAAAAAAGTGAAACCAAAAGTGCTTCTGATACGGCTCAATTGGTAAAGGACAACCTCTCACCTGTGAGCCCTTGAGTTCAAACTCTGGTGTTTGAGGACTGCAATTATGAACAATATAAACAATATTTGAAAATATTTAATGTAGGCATTTGAATGTGACCTTTACAACTGATTGCAGAGGATACTTGCAAATGGTAGCATAATGTTATAAGTCTTAAAAGGGGGTTGGATAAAAGTTTGCTTCTTTGGGTAAAGATATGGTTTCTTTAGTTGCTGGATGAGTTGTGTTAGTCCACATCTGTTTATTTAAAGTCATGTACTTGAAGGCTTGCTGGCCTCAAAGTGGTAGAGCACTAGCCTTGAGCAAAAAGAGATCAGGGACAGTACTGAGGCCCTAAGTTCAAGCCCCATGACCAACATAAACAGGCAATAGTTGACTGCTATTAAATTGTTGTATTTCAACACTGTCAAATCTATATCAGATTACCTTGATAACAAAAATTAACAATAAGTTTAGAATGTATTTACTAGGATGAAGTCTACTTCATGGGAAATGGTTTTTAATCAAATGAGAAATTGGCCAGTAATGGGGAATATCCAGCCCTCAGACCATAGAAAGCCTGAGAAGTCATTTTGTACATATGCAGACATGTATGCTTCTAGCCAACTACCTGTATATATAGTTTTGTATGGCCCAAGAATGACGCTATCGATTCCAACTGACTCTTGACCAAAAAAAAAAAAATCCCCACTCTCCCTATAACTTGATGCTTATAAATTTGCAAAATGTCATGAAACATTAATGCTTTAGATGAGTTTTCAAACATGTGAGAGCAATGATGGATCTCTTCATTGATCATATTGTGCCCCTAAGCACATTTTGGGTGCACTACTGGCAATTTCGAAGCCTCTATGTTTCATTTCTTTGCTGCTGCTCTCCTGCAGCAACAGCTCAGTCCATGTTTGTTATCCACCCACTGCCATCCACTCCAGCCCCAAGTCCACAGTAAGAAAGCTGCAATTGCCAACATATTGTCATTTACTCTTGCTTCCTCCTAGATCCCACAAAGGACCAAAAGGAATACCAGGATTTGACTTTGTAAGAGCACCTTTCTGTGTCTTATATAGTAATGAAGCTCTACTTTCAACTTTAGAAAGAACAATTGACCATGGATATGATTACTCAAAGAATATTTTGAGAGACATAATTTCTATAGTGGGGTGCTGTTGAGTTATAATCTCTTAACAAAATCATACAGAGATTGTCTAGGACAATTAAAGTCTCTGCACCCACTTTTTTAATGGTTTTTTATTGTAAAGATACTGTACAGAGGGTTTACAGTTACATGAGTAGGGTAATGAGTACACTTCCTATCCTGCATTGTTACCACCTCCTTTGATTTTCCCCCACCATCACTTCCCTCCCCACCTTCTTAACTCCTCCCCTCCCTACCTCCCTGACATTGTAAAGTAGAAGCATGTCATCAGCATCAATTTTCCTCCTTGAATTAAGTATAACATAATTGATAATCAAAATGTACTTGAGAAGTACATGTGTCAAGAGAAGTGCTCTCTTGCCTTTTCTATTGGTGTCCTCTGGAGCAGTGTTAGTTGACCATTGACTGAAACAGTGTTCTTTATCTCATTTTCTAAGCTAGTGAGACAAAACTGACCTGTGTAAAGTATAAAGCCTGTTCTAATCCTCACAGTATTTTCCTTTCTATAATTACAGGAGTTTGGTGCAACTTGTGGAAGTTGTACATATACACAAATTTCCAAGGAAGTCTACCACTGTCTTTAGCCTAGGAAAGTCTGATTCTGGGTTGCATTAGGAAGGAGAAGTGGGTCTCTGATATAAAGAAATGATTTTAGTAGTACAGAACTAATGCCACAGAGGCTCTACCCAGCATTATGATAGAGAGTAAAAACAAAGTCAGTCTTCTGTGAGCAATGTGCCTTTACTTGATGAGGTCAGGGATGAGTGAACCACTCTGTACTGATTTTCTTCCAGATGTGGTCTCCTTGGTAGAAGTGATAAAATTAGATGTCTAGAGTGATGGTAAAATTGAGGGTGGGTAACTATATTCCAGGTAAGACCCAATAGGAGAGAGTTTCAGGAGCAGTAAAGGTATACCCTCTGCTTGGGAGGCTGAGGAAAAAAGAAATCAAACAAAAAGGAAATATGTGTGGGTTTTCTGTGTTGTTCTTTTTACATTTTAGTGGCAAAATGGTGGGAATTTCTGTTGGTTTTCACCGTGCTTTGTGTCTTGATCAGTTGTTTAAAGATGACCTTTCCCAGGACATCGACATTTCTCTGCCTCTGCCTTTGCCAAACCTCAAAATCTACATTGGAGATTTTGAATACATCATGGGGATTATGCACAGGAAGTTTCATGCTCATTTTGGGAAATTGATCTGTGATTGAATCCGCTGGGCATAAGTCACACATATATTTGAACCTGGGGACAATGTTCTTCCAGTGTGGGCCCAGAGATATAGGAGAAATACTTTAATCAGAGTATAGCAACATTTTTCATTATTCTCCCCTTTCTTATTGCACCTCATTTAAAGGCCACTTCCAGGAGTGGATGACAGTATATTTAGTTTCAGCTCATTGAAAAGCTCTTTTGTTCTGGAACAGAGGAAGTGAAACATGACTTTGATACACATCTACCCCAGATTCTTCACCCAATCACTAACACTAGGATGGGTAATGTAATTTTGCAGAAAGTCAAAAGTTCCATCCCAAAATCTGTCTTGTAGTCATTACAAAAGTTAGGCTTTAGATGATTTCTACTTTTGTATTAAAGATGTTAACTTTGTTTTGAAGATCTCAATTCTAGACTAGATTATTCACATTACAAGATAAAGTATTCTCTAATACTGGGATATTTGGAGGGCCATCATCACTAGGGGCAGTTAATACCATCCAAGGTCCTGACCCTGCTCTCCAGAGATCTGAAGGTTCAACCAAGAAGATCCAGTTAAGAAATACAGATTTTAATAAATCCTAGAGAGCAGGATGGTAAGTGAACCCTGGTGTCTTCCTGACATAAACCTGGAATTATGCACCCTAGTGTCTCTGGATGAGAGAAAAGCTAGAATGCTGAGCACACTGAGCCCTGACCAAGGCTATCATCATGGGATTTTCCCTGGACCCTCAGAGACAGCCCCATGCCTTCTGGCACTTCCTTGAGCACTCTCATATCTTATCTTTGTCCTATGCCCATAACTATCGCAGTGGTAAAGTGTGTGTGTTTTCTGCTTCCTTGTAAAGCATCATACTCTAATTTCTCTGTCCCCTTCATTAATTTTGCCATCTCTTTTCTTTTTTTTTCTTCAGAAATCCATGTGGCAAAAAGCTCAGCCTTTTGACAAGATAACCACCTGGATCCCACAGCTGACTTTCTTTTTCCTCACTTCTGTATGAACTCTGAGAAAAACTGAACCAAACAGTGCCTTTTTAGTGTTCAGTCTAAATCAAAAGTTTACCAGCAGGCCAGGCACAGGTAGCTATAATCCTAGCTACTCAAGAGCCTGAGATGTGAGGATCATGGTTCAAAGCCAACCCAGACAGGAAAGTCCCCAGGAGACTCTTATCTCCAATTAACTCTCAAAAAAAGGGGGAGAGGAGTGTATGTGTGGCTCAAAGTGGTAGAATGCTAACCTTGAGCAAAAAACTGAGACTCAGTAAGTACCCAGGTGTCAAGTTCAAACCCCACGACTAACCCCAAAAAAAGGTTGTTATCTAATATTTGTGGTCATTAGGAGAGGGACTGGTTTGGAGGGAAGGAAGAAAATGATGGAGTGGCATTGATGAAGATGCAGTGTACTTATAAAGTGATTTGGACAGTAACTCCTTTGCACAAGTGCTTTAAAGAAAATAGAAATACGATTTTTTTTAGTTGGTTGTGGCCATTAGTTTCTGAGAGGCAGATAGTGAGATTCCCAGTTTAGAGGATTTGTTGGGCTGAATAGAGCATGCCATACGGAGCCAGATAGCTCATTTCTCTCTCAGTACATGCAAGGTCTGATGTGCTCTATGTTTCCAAGCATAGACCCACTATGTTGTGATGTAGTAAAAAGGCTCCCTTACTACAGCACTGCTTCCATTGCTCTCTATTCATCATTATTCTTCATTGACAAAAATAACCTAAGATTTCATATGAAACCTTTTACAAAAGGCTTCAAATCACAAAGCAATCCAGAAAGGGGTGGGAAGTGCTGGAGGTATCACAATCCCAGACTTCCAATTTTGCTACAGCTCTATAGTAACAAAACCCGCTTGGTAATGGTACAAAAATAGGCTTGAGGACCAGTGGAATAGACTAGAAGACCCAAAAGTAAACCCATATAACTAGAGCCATCTAATATTTGACAAAGGAGCCAAAAATACAGGTTGAAAAATGACAGTCTTTTCAACAAATGGCGCAGGGAAAACCGAATACTCATGTGCAGAAGAGTAAAACTGAATCCCCATATGTCACTTTGTATTAATATCACTTCAAAGGTAATCTAAAACCTCAATGTACAACTAAATCTTGAAACCACTACATTAGGAGTAGGAGGAATAAGAACTTACTGGCATAAGGAGAAACTTTCTGAATTGAGTTCAGGGGCTCAGCAATTAAAGAGAATTGACAAACAGGATTACATCAAGCTTTTTTTAATAAGTTTTTTTATTGTGAAAATACTGTACAGAGGGGTTACACTTACATGAACAAGTTAATGAGCACATTTCTTATCAGGCATTGTTGCCTCCTCCCTCTCCCCCCAACCCCTGGCCTAAATTGTAAAGTTCGTTTTTTGACATCTCATTGTTGCAATGGGTCCACCTGTATCCCTATTTAAACAATTTGTTTTTTCCACTCCCCCTCCCCAAAATTATACCAACATCAAATACAATGAAAACAGGGGTTATACCGTGGAGGAGGGACATACAAAGCAACAAAAAAAATTACCTGTACCTTATAAATACGTTAGAAACAATAGAAAAAACCACTTGTGTCCTTAACTTGGGGTTCATTTCAATTAACATTATCTTATCTGACCTTTTCTGCTTGTCTCAAATATATACTAGTTATTGCAAATAAGGGAAACCTTGGCTTACTTCACTTTGCACCTGGCTTACTTCACTTAATATAATTTTTTCCAAGTCTTTCCATTTCCTAACACATGGGGCAATGTCATTCTTTCTGATGGAGGCATAGAATTCCATTGTGTATATATACCACAAGGACATTTTTGAAGCTCATAAATTTGGTGTTTTGGTATCCCAGGTGCCTACACAGGCCCAAGTTCAGCAATATGTACATGAATTTTCTGTCAACAGCAATGCTTCAAATAGAAATGAATGGACAGATATATATGTTCATAGATGTAAATACTTTTGTTTAGATGCTCTGTTGTCAATTTACAGTTTCAACAAACCCTTAAAAAGTCTGAGTTGCCTTTTTTGCAGAAACTAACATGGAAGTCTCAAAATTGAAATGGAAATGGCAAAGGATCAAATACAGAAAAAATACTGGAAAGTAACTTTAGACGACTCATACTTTCTGATTTTAAAATTGACCATAGTATCACCATATGATGTGACACTGTGGTAGAGAACTTTCCTAGCATGTCACCATACCCAAGGTGACAGTTAAATCCTTAACTATAAAGTTACAGTAACCAACTTACATGATACTTGCTTACAACTAGACATATATACTAATGGAATGGAGTCCAAAGTTCAGAAATAAACCCCCACATTTGGTCAGCTGATATTCACTGAGGGTGGCAAATATCTCTAATAAATAAAGTATACTAACAGCAGTAAAATTACAGCACTTATTTTAAGTGAAAAAGTACTTAATATTGCTTCAAAGGAGATATACTAGTTGTCAAATAAACACAGAAACAAAAACAGGATTAGTAGTATCACTAGATCTTAGAGAAATGCAAAACAAAACTACAGGTAGATTCTAGTTCACACCTTCTGGTATGGTTCTAATAAAAAAAGAAAAAGACAATTGTTGTCCATGAAGTGGAGATATTGAGTCAAACTATCCTGATATAATATGGAGAAAACAATTTGGAAATTCTTCAAAAAAAATGAAGGGTCCAGGAATCCTAATCTTAGGTATATATACCTAGGTTTTAATGTACACACAAAAACCTGCACACACAAGTTCATGGCAGCCAAAATAATAGCCAAATAGAAAGGGACAATAATGATATATTCTCAACACAGATGATTCTTGAAAACAACTTACTTATTCATTATGAGCCAGGAACAAGGGCAATTTGCCATAGCATTCTGTTTATATAAATACATATAACAGGAAAAAATCATAGAGACAGAAAGTAAGTCAAATATTTCCAGAACCTGGATGAGGATGGGAACAAAGACTGGCAGTAAGTACAGGGTTTCTTCTCAAGATGACATTTAATGCAACTAGATAGCATGGTGAAATGTAAAACCTTTAGATGTTCTACAAGCTAGTGATCTGTAGACATTTAAAAGTGACTTCTATGCAATATGAGGTATAGCTTAATAACAAATGACTATAATCCTTCCTCAGCCCCCTCTCTCCTCTACTACCTGGCTACCATAAAGTGAACCACTCTATTCTGCCACACCCTCCTTGCCATGATGGACTAAACCCTCTGAAACCATTAGACAAAATGAGTCCTTCCACCCCTTAAAGTTGTTCCTATCAGATATTCATTCATAGATACAACATTAACAAAATCACCTAACAGAGCTTTCTCAACTCTTAATCACTTTGTGGTGGTTGTTGTTGTTGCTGTTTATCCTGGGTCCTGAATTTCTGGGCCTGGGTATTGTCCTTAAGCTCAAGGCTAGCACTTTACCACCTGAGCTATAGAGCACCACTTCAGGCTTTTTCTGTGCTTAAATGGAGATAAGAGTCTCAGAAACTTGGGGCTGGGAAGGTGGCTCAGTGGTAGAGCGCTTGCCTTGCACTCATGAGGCCCTGGGTTTGATTCCTCAGCACCACATAAGCAAAAAGAAAAAAGCCGGAAGTAGCGCTGTGGCTCAAGTGGTAGAGCGCTAGCCTTGAGCTGAAGAGCTGAGGGACAGCGCCCAGGCCCAGAGTTCAGGCCCCACTACCGGACCCCCCCAAAAAAAAGAGTCTCAGAGACTTTTCTGCCCTGGCTGGCTTTGAACAGTGATCCTCAGATCTCAGCCTCCTGAGTAGCTAAGATTACAGGGTGAACCACCAGTGCCTGGCTTCTGGAATAAGTCTTTACTCATTTGATATGTATACATGGGTTTTTCTTCTATCTTAACTAAATATTACTTGATGAAACATTGTCATTTTACTTTTGGTCGTATTCCCAGGTTTAAAGAAGATCTGTGGAATGTGGTGTATGGCTGGCCCTGGACAAACAGCCAAATCATGACTGAGACTATAATCC